CTGCAGCAGCTAACAATATCTGGTACATATAGGAAGCATTTGTTAAATGATTAAACAAATTATAGTTTAATTTCCAAGGAATTAAGAAACTAAGAAATATAGTTGTGTCCACTCATGATTCTTCTTGTTATTTACAGGACTTATAGAAGTGTAGGCAGTCTCTGTTATTGGTCGCTTTACATTGGGTTGTTAGCACAACCACTGGCTTGTAGCACATGGTAACTCGTTAGTACCACCCAATACCCATTCCTCCACCATGAAATTTATTTGTTTTTTAATCAACTTTAGCCTAGGCAAGCATGCATCACGGTATTATGGTATTTCTTTTTTTTTTAAATGGTTTGCTTTTAGACCCTGGTTAAAATTTTCAAGCAGTTTTCAATTTACATATTTTGGGGACAAATAGGACATGCAGAAACATTTGTGTGACTTGCATATTATTTTTTCAAACATTGAATAGGTGTCAACATTTTAATAATGGAAGAATTCACCTTAAAAAGAACTACCAGATTTCTGGCTTTTCTTGAAAAACCAAATCTGACAATACTCCACCCCCATTTTTTCAGAGCCACAAACTATTCGATTTTAATATGGGGATATGGGATGCTTTCCAGTTTTGGACAGTTCCAGCCTGGCCCCTGTTCCTCATTTACGTACTTTCTTTGTCCATTTTAGGCTTCTGAGTTCATTATTCCTATTTTAAAGCTTCTTTTGAAAAGATAGGGTGTGTCAGAGACTACCAGCTATTTATTAAAACTGGTTTGTCCTGGCTGTAGAGTCAGACTCTTTTTCCTAGCTTCCTTTGCAGCTCAGTGTGGCCATGAGATTGAGTTTAGCCAATGAATGGAGTAGAAGTACTATGTGCCACTTTCCAGCCTATTCCATGCAAACTTTCTGTGCGGACTTCTCCATTGTATTTCTCCTTCTGATAGCCAGCTGTAGACAAAGAGACCCAGTAACTTGGCAGAGCCACAAAACGGAAGGAGTGGATCCTTCAGTGACCCTGTCTGTAGGGAAGCGGAGTTACTGACTGCTATGGCCTTGATTGTTGTTATGTGAGCAAGAAATATACTTCTTTTTCAAAAGGAATTTCTGAACTTTAAATCTGAGAGATCAAAAAGTATGATACTTTTCTCAGAATTGTACTGCAAGTTCTAGTCTTTTAGCTTCAGTTGTTGGAGTCATATGTAAGTTTACGGTTTGAATAGAACAGAAGAAGAAATATACTTTTATGGTCAAACTTCCTTTATTTAGGTCTCTTTTATGGCAGTTGCCCTATACTAAATAACCCAGCATGCTAATGAACTGGTAATTGCTTGTGGCATCTGATCTTTGGTAACAAATGTCAAGTAGGCAGAGGACAAGTGAGAATAAATGCCCCAGCTTTCCTGGCGGTGCTACTGGTTCTGAGTGCCTGGTATGCAGGGCCTTGTAGATAAAATCTGGCAGCAGCAAGGGGTGAGGGAGAGGCATGTAGGGTCATCCCTGACTTTTAAAATGCTTTCTAGTCAGAGAAGCCCTATCATTAGCAGCAACAGCAAACCTTCACTGAGCACCTGGTTTAGTGCTTTGAGTTCATATCCAAGGGCGGTACAATGCATTTCTCTGCTAGCTTTATTGATATTTTTTGAGAGAAAAAAACCTCAGTTTTGACTTACATGCAGTCTCTTTGAGAGCCCTGGGCTAACCAAACCATTTCACTTACATCTTTCTGAATTAGTAGGTTTCAAGCAAAACTCATTTAAATCAAGTATTTGATGTTTAGTATAGTTTGCATATTAGTTTTAGGTCAAATTTTGAGGCTATAAAATTAATTATTTGCATTCAGCATGACTTAAAATTATATATTTATATGCTAATAATACATTGATCCTAGCATAATCATTGTGTAGAGAACATCATACCCATTATAATATTTGAAACATAATTTTAATTGACCAGAGCATGGTTTCTATAATTATTGCTTTGAAATGTTTATTAGAGAAGGCCTCTGTGGGGAGGGACCTGGAAATTTCTAGCTATTCTGCTTGCTACTGTGCAGGTAACTTCAACTTTGGGGATGCGAACAGCAAAGCCAGTCCCTTTGACCTCCAATGTGTTGTTCATGACCGTAATGTGCTCGATGGCACATGGCCCCTACTTGTACTATTGTTTTTATAGCTTGCTTAATGGCAATCCACTTAATGACATAATGTTCAGGACCACATTGCAATAAAAGTGGGGAATACCCGAAATCCTTTAATGTAGAGTTTGGATGGCAAGAACTTTTATCTGTCATATCGAAAGCTGTCTTATTACTGTGTTCATTATGTGGGATTCATTAAATAATAACAGCTTTAAGAGTGAATGCTATTTGAGAGTCCTGGAATGTTAGAGTTCATAGAGACTCTATGAATTAGACTCTCTCTTGACTCTTGGTGGGTCTACCCAAGTTACTACCCATTGTTGGGGAAATTTTCCCATGGTTTTTGCTGAAGTGGTAGAAGGAGCCTTAACTAAACTTACCCCATTGGCCCTTACTGAAATAACTGTCCACAATTGGGATAGACAGTTGATTTAAATTGAACAGTCGAATTATCTTGCTGTATTTTGTTTGAACAGAGTTATGGAGACTGAGGTAGATGGTTGGAGGCTCCAGAGCTGTTTGTTGTTAAGGAATGAATGGGTCAAGTAACCAGGGTAAAGAAGAGACACAGGATTTAAGAAGGTACCAAAATATTAGCTTTGTTCTTAGTAAATCTGAGTTGGAAAACAGATCTGGATGTAAGACCAAAATGGGCTGGCTTCCTAGCCTTACTCTTTTTAGTTGGAATTTCCTTCCAGGTAGCAGAAAGCATCTAGAATTCTCTACCTCCCACCCTCTGGGGCAAGGCCTGACTGGATGAGCACTCTGCACAGAAATCACATACCCTTAGAGGAGAGAGCACCCAAAACTTTTGGGTAGATCAGGCTCCAGATAATCAAGAAGATCCTGGGCTCTACATATGCAAAGGTCTTCTCAGTCCCACCAATCAGATAAGTTACTCCCAGGGAAAAGAATGAGAGAAGGGGATAAGGAGAAGGTGTACTCCTTGCCCCACACTGTCTAAACAGGGAATACTTGCCGTTTTATAGGCCAGGCAGGAATCTGAGGAGGAGACAGTCATTTCTCCCATACAGTCTTGGAACCACATTGTAAGCCAAAGTCACAGGGAGCAAGGATTAGGAGTGTGCACAGAAAGAAAAAATAAGGACAGTATTGGGGAGAGATCATATAGCTGACAAAAAGTGGAGAAAGTAGCTGCTGGACATCTCTATTCCCATGCGGCCTAACCCTCTTCTTGTTACAGGTTCTATGAAGGTCCTCTGACTCCATTTACTCATTTGTTTGTTTGCTTGATCCTATTTTTTTTTAAAGATTTTATTTATTTATTTGACAGATAGAGATCACAAGTAGGCAGAGAGGCAGGCAGAGAGAGGGAGAGGAGGAAGCAGGCTCCCTGCTGAGCAGAGAGCCCGATGTGGGGCTCGATCCCAGGACCCTGGGATCACGACCCAAGCCGAAGGCTTTAACCCACTGAGCCACCCAGGTGCCCCTTGATCTTATTTTTAAGTAATCTCTACACCCAACATGGAGCTTGAACTTATAACTCCAAGATCAAGAGTCACATGCTCTACAGATCATGTTCTACTGACTGAGCCAACCAGATGCCCTGGTCCTCCAACTCCTTATAACAAACACTGACTACTTAACTTGGCTTATAAGCTTCTCTCTTTTTAACCAAATCATTCTTAATATACTAAATGACCTTTGGTGGTTTTAAAACTTTATTATATGCTAAACACTGTGGTATGCAACTGATAATCTTTAGTTATAGGGAAAGCCTGTTTTGTTATAATGGACGTAAGTAAAGATTTAGTAATTATTTTTAAATTAATTTAATTTATTAATTAGTAAGGTTTATTAATAAAATTAGATATTTAAAAAATTAACATTTCTGTAGTCCCCTTTGCCTTATAAAGACTGCCAGCAACTATGCAGAGTATTTTAAGTAGCACTTTAAAAATCCACCCCTTGCAAAAGAAACAAAAAAAAACCCCAAAACACTAATTCATTTGTGAAGAATTATTACACACTTTCTTCAGAAAAGATGTAGTTCCACAGAATTTCTGTGAATACATTTTTATAGTTCTAACATTTATTTGACATTATAAAATGGTCAAGTGCAGACAAAAAGATCATGATATTCATTTGAACCATATGACATTTTTTTGTACGTCAAAATGGGCAAATATAGGCAAATTCCTATGAGTAAACCTCATTATGCACCATAACAATGTTATAATAGTGCTTTTGTGCATCTGAAAGATGAAGGGTTTCTTCATGCGGAGAATTGTCTAGGCTCTGATCCAGACTTAAGTCTAGGATCACAAACCCTAGTTCATGACTAAGTTGAAACCTGCCTAAGAAAAATGAGAGAAATAATAATAATGTAAAGAATTTTAGTTTCAAAAAAGGTAAAATTCTTCAATTATAAAAGTCTGAGATTAGAGGATTTTAGAGGGTTAAAAATAGCTTTCCTTTTGTAAAATGATGTTATAGTAGATAGTACTTCTAAAATCTACTTACCTGGAAAAAAAATGGCAAGTTCGTATCAGCCTTCAAAACGGTTCTTGATATTTTACTATTCTCTAATATCCAAATGTTTAGGAACCACCCACGGGCACATAAAATAACCACAAACAGGATGACACAGATGTAGGCAAGGAAGGAAAACTGAAAGCTGAACAGCCCATTCAGTCATCGTGGATTCTTTATTCTTTCTTTTATCCATGCGATGAGGAACCAAAAGTTCTTTCTTTCTATCCTTAGAAGAAGAAGGTCTCCACTGCCTGCAATCTTCTCTGATGCTGTTCCCCCGTATCTCCTCTTTGCTTGATAAACAGGCATAGCTCTGCTTTGTAATTCATTGCCAGGGGCATTATTCTTCCAGCACCTTTTCTTCAGAAGCCCAAGCAAGGTATGGAGAAATTATCATTCTCTCCCTGGCACCTCCCACTCTGCCATCTTCCTCAGCACAAGTGTGTATCTGATTATTGTAGCAATTTCTCAAGTTCTCTAATGAAGGGTCTTCTAGGTCTCAAAACACCAAAACTGTAAGGAAAGAACAGAGGGGAAGACTGTCTTACTTTCTTTCCCTCTTGTACTAAAGAAGCTTCATTTAATCTAGCCTTCAAAAGTCCTCTTTTTCTCTTCACTGACTTCTCTTTCCTTGATATTTTACAGTCAACTTTTCTAAGTTTCTCATCTGTTTCTCTACTCCTTCCTTCATAGAATGGAGTTCCCATGTCCACCACTGGCCTTCTCATTGCTTCCTGTGTCTTGAGGGCCTCAGGCTTGACTGTGTCCAGTCTGGAGATGGAGGAGATGGCCTTTTTTCCCTATGCCTGGGGGAAAAGTAAAATTCTCTAATTTTAGTTTAGTCTGCCCTCCAGCAGATGCTGTACTTGATTTCCAAAGTGATTTTCCCTAAGAAACAAGGTAAGAATATGTTGTTTTTTTTTTTTTCAGAGACAACATGGTATTCTCTCAAATGAGTAAAGTATATTTCTTCTATTAGCATTTGGGCATGATAGGACTTTGCCCATTACTAAATAACAAAATCGATGAATATGATTTTTTACCAAAAAGATTTGACTCTTGTTTGGATTTGGATTAAAAAAAAAAAATTTACTGCTGCAGTTGTAAAGGGCTCTCTACTACTCTGGAGCGGTGGCACCAGTTCCAATTAGATTCCGCTAAACTCTGAATCTCCTGGCTGATAGAAATAGAATGGACAGCTTCTATTACCAGTCCCACCACTTACATAATAGGAACTGAATTTGGCATGGTGATACAGAGAAGAATACAGTATAGGACCAGCTTTTAAAAAGCTCAGTCTAGGAGCAGGCTGGGGGATTCAGGCAGTTGAGCATCTGACTCTCGATTTCAGTTCAGGTCACGATCTCAGGGTCAGTGAGTTGGAGCCCCACCCAGCATCTGGCTCCCTCTCCCTCTGCCCACACCCCCCCCCCCACTGCCGGGGATGCTCTCTTTTTCTCTCTCAAATCAATCAATCAATCAATCTTAAAAAAAAGAGCTCACAGTCTAGATGGAACTTAAATTACAAACATTTATATAATCTTTTACAAAGTAGCCTATAAGCCAAGAAACAGAATTTAGGTGTTCAACACAAGACATTCTTGATACTTTAAGGCCACTATGAAGTCACACAAGATTAGTTTATAACAGTTTGCAAGTGTTTTTAATTTTTATTATTTCATTTGACCCTTGAAATTATGTTGTTGGATGTTGTTATTCCATTTTACAAATTAATAGAGCTCAGAAAGCTGAAGTAATTTGTCCAAGATCACCTAGTTTCTGAGAGGCAGAACTGGGGTTCAATTGTGATTAAACTCTGACTGCTGTGGAATATATTACCAGATTAAATAAGCTAAGAATGTGTATTAACAGTTCTCGAATTTAAGCTAATCAACAGTTTAGGGCTGTATTATACACACATGACAAGAAATAAGGAATAGGAGAATACAAAACTCTGTCTCAAAGAATAGGTGTTGTGATATTTGTTTAAAGTAGTTTATAGTCATGACTCCTGATACTACTTTCCCGTGAAGTGAGGGTATGCAGAATTTACCCAATGACATATATTGTTGAGTATATGATTCAGAGGAATTGCTCAATCAAATGTGGAGACTGACTGAATTAATTACTAGGATGATTTTGGTGACAGGGTGTAGTAGTTTCTAATTTAATTTCTTGAGCAAAACAGAATTCATTGTAGTTGTAAGTAAATTCACTATATTGCACCGACATTTGGAATCAAACCAGACAAGTTTCAGTTTGTTTAAATAGTTAAAGCCATTGTGGGTCCTTGGGTGGCTCAGTTGGTTGTCTGCCTTCAGCTTGGGAACTGAGTCTGGCATTGAGTTCCCTGCTCAGCCTCTACCCCTCCCCCTGCTAGTAATCTCTCCATCTCTCTCTCTCAAATAAATAAATAAAATAAATTTTAAAAAATAGTTAAAGCCATTGTGAAAATGGATCTTTAAAACAATTGGAATCAAGGAAGAATATAGTGTTTCTGTATCTCAGTTCTCAAGATCTACCTTCGACCAAGCTATTTATGCCCCACTCTTTCCCACTCCCCCAACTCTGTACCTAGTAGAGCTGGAATAGTAATAGTAAACTTAAGAGCCTGTGAGAGCATTGTAGACTACTTGGATAAGGGAGACAGCCTAAATGCAAACAAAGACTGTTGGGCATTACCTGGGCCCTTAGTACCTACCTATCCCACCTATCTCACCCAGACTCACATTCCTACAAATGTGTGACAAGCTGAAAATCTCATCCCCAGCCAGATGCTCATGTCATAAAGTTCAAGAGAAAAGCATTTGGAGACTGATAGACCTATAAGTTGAAGGAATGAACTTATATTCCAACTCATTTGTTTTCTTAACTAAAATGGAGATTATAAAACTTATCTTCACTGTAGCTACCTTTATTATGTAAGATCTTGATTATTTCACCATCTCAAAAACAAAACAAACAAGAGAACATGTATTGACTTGTTTCTTTATGACCTCATAATGGCAGGACCTGGTAAATAGATAGTACAGTTATTCTAGAAGTCCTGGTAGGAAATATATGATTTGAGAGTAGGAAAATAATCCAAAGAGAATTCAGGGCCAGTTACTTCAGTGAAATTTCTGGAAGACTGTGATCTGGGGTGTGAAGGCCTATCCCTTCCAAAGTGCTTCTAAGAAGGAGGTGCTTTGCATTGTGGGTCACTTTGGATCTCAGGGACAACATATCCCACATTTGGAATCCATTTACTGAGAGAGCCCATAAAGTTACTAGGTTTGAATGAGGCCAAGGGTAAGAGAGCTCACTGCAGCTGGTCCAAGCCTCAGAACAAAGCTCTACCATGCAGACCTTACGAGCCAGCAAGTCCAATGGTGCTTGAAATGTCTGTGGCAGTTTGGGATGCCCTATGTAGCTTCTAGCAGACCCCTATCAGAGCATAATAAACAAAGCAAGCTGGTAATATTTGGAAATAAATACTTTACTGTTGAGAAACTGCTCTTGGCTTGCTAATGGACTCTGTTAGACATTGAAAAGTCTGACCATGTGAACTTCACCTCGATTAATGACGTGTCTTCTGCCCCACCAGGCACTAATGTTCAGTTTGTCCAGCAGCACTCCCGCATCAGGTGAAAATTGCATGCATGAGATCAGATCTACTCATGTGTTGGAGGCACTAATAAGTTCTAAGACCAGGTAGCTCACATTGCCCATGTACTTACACCTATTAAAGTAACAGCCTTCCATCGACCCACCATGGCCTCATGTAGCCTTTTCTCTAACTAGCTAATGGAGGAAGAAGTTCAGTTCTGGTTTACAGATGCTTCTGTCTTATAATATAATTTTGCACCAGTGCCCTGCTGCAGCAATATAACCCCACGAGGGGTGGACCTGAAGGACAAGAAGAAAGAAAATCCTTCTAGAGGGTAGAAATTTGGGTGATACAATTGATTTTCCATGTTGTTTGTCTGAAAGGAGAGATGGTCGTAATCATGGATCTATACCAATTCATGTACGGTGGTTAATGGTTTGGCTAGATATTCAGGGATTTGGAAAGATCATGATTGAAGGATTGCTGATAAGTAGGTTTGGGGAAGAGATATGCAGATAGACTTCTAAGAATGGGCCCATCTAGTGGCAGGTCAGTTGCATCAAACTCTGTTTTAGAAAGGTTCTCAACTTGTTCTCACTGAAGTATCCATTTGTCCTAGATTTTATTTCGTCTTCCCTGTTGTCATCTTTCTGCAAGTACTTTCTGTCACGTTACCGCACAAACAGTGAGTCTGACCAAGTAAATAATTTTATGTAAAAAATAAAAGGTGATGGGCTTTCATGGAATACACTGGTCTTAACATGTACTCCATAAATCATAGATAGCTTCTCCCCACCCTGCTTGACTAAGGTATAATTGGCAAATAAAATTGTTAGATATTTAAATTATGCAATGTAATTATTTGATATATACATTGTGAAAAGATTCCCCGCATCAAGTTAATTAACACAGCACTACATATTTACCTTTTTTTCTTGGTTAGAGCATTTAGGTTCTACTCTGTCATCAAATTTCAATTATACAATACAATGTTATCAAATATAGTCACCATGTTACACACTATATCCTTAAGCCATATTCATTTTTGAACTGAGAGTTTTCACTCTTTACCAAACTCTCTCTAGTTCCCCCAGCCCCTCGCAACCTCTTTCCTACTTTCCGTTTCTATGAATTTGACTTTTTTTTTTTTTTTTCAGCTTCCACATATAAGTGATACCATGCACTATTTGTCTTTCTCTGCCTGGCTTATTTGACTTAGCATAATGTTCACCAGGTTCATCCATGTTTTCGCAATGATAGGATTTCTTTTTAAGATGGAGTAATATCCCATCGTACATAGATGCACTTTTTCTTGATCCATCTGACAATGGCTCTGTAGAATGCTCAGCAGGCTCTACTGAAGACTGGTTTGTGTGGATTGTGCAGAAGTGGTGTGGTTCTGGAGCTAGTTGCTATTGTAGAGGCTTCCTGATGCCACAGGCAGCTTCTTCATCGTACAGTTTCCTGATTTTTGTCAGAAGCAGCAGCTCCCTTAGTAACCAAGTTCTGTGATGACTTTGGGAGTCACTCCATGAGTTCCAGCCTCCATTCAGTTTCTATAGCACTCCTAAAGATGAAGTCATTTAATATCCTGTAAAAATTTCCATACTGCTTTCTTTAGTTAGCTAGAATGGCTTCTGTGTTCTGCCACTAAGCCCTGACTGGTACAGTCAGGAAAGTCTTACCCCAATCCAAAAGTAGGCAGAAAATGGACTCCATGCACAGGTAAAGGCAGTTTTAACCTGTGTCTTTAATAGGTAGCATTTTGAAAAAGTTTCAATAGCAGCAGATTATATATATTCCCAAAATGTTTCATTGCTGTCTTAATGCTAAGCAGATTTTGAGAAAGGACAAAAGAGTATTGGTATGAATTCTTGGGAAGTTTAAGTTTAAAAATGTGAAGTGAAACTAGCAATAATAATAA